TCTGGCTGGTTGTACTATACTCTTCTTTTCCTTTATATACTAGGGCATGTTGAGGTGCCCTAGTGACAAGTGTATGCATGAGAGTCATGATTGATGGTCCCCCCTCCTGGTGCTCTTACAGCTGTCCCGTCAGTGCTTGGACCACTACCAGCGCTAAAAGACAAACTGCGCCAGCTTGCTAATTTTTGGCTGCTCCTGCTTTTGCTGCGACTTTGCTGCAGCAATGCTATGGCATTGGGGGCATTTCAGCATTTGTGTTTTCCACCGTGCTTTTCTCACCAAAAGCCTACGTCAGCACCTCCTGTGGACATCATGCACTAAGTTCTCAGGGTCAATGCAATGAGTTGAAATGAGGAATAACTTCAAAATATAGCAAGATTTCCCATAAATAACAACTTTCTGCCACACGGAAAAAGATTAATAAATGCTATTCAAAATACTAACACAAAGGCATTTTACCCGGAGAATATAAACAAATATTAAACCTAAAAGTATGCTAAATAACTCTATTTCTGTGAGTTATCAGTTACTAATGAGAAATTGTTGGAATCTTCAACCACAAAAATCAATAGTAATGCGTCCAAGGAAATTTGTTTAGGGGAGTTGAGTAAAATCAAAATTTTGAATAAATTAAGTGAAATATGTACTGAAAATCTCATAATTCTTTCTTTTTTCTATTAATACACACACACACACACCCTGTAAATGTATAAGCTTAGATAGCATTTTGTCTTAGTTTTTTTTTGTTCCGATTCTTCAAGCAAAAAGAAATATATGAAATAATGGGGTATGCATAATTAGAAGACAGAAGTCAAATTAAGAGTGTGGATGAATTAAAATTTTGAACATTCTCTATAAAATAATAAATTTTAGATCAAAATTAAAGATGTAAATGAAATTTTGTGAAACATTCTGCATAAAATATGAAACTACAAAAGATTTTAGGGGGCAAAATAGTAAATTCTTAATATCCACATATACATACATACACATATATATACTGAGCTCGAGGTTTGCAGCCCCTGTGCCTTAGCTGGCTGCAGCCGTTTAGTCACTAACTTAAAATCCTCGTTTTATCTGGGGAAAAGTAAGTAAAAAACTCAAAATTCCTTTACAATGTTTTGTTACTAGGGAACTTCATTACGTACGTTAAATACTAACAAGACTCAGTACTTTCCTTCAATAGGCTGGTCAAAGACGGAAAAAAAATCCGTTTTCAAGTGATATATTATTATTAGGGGTGTACTTCGGCCGGGGTTCACTCATTTTTTCAACCGAGTTGACATAATCGGTGTGAAAAAACCATTAACCGCAACACCTTGACAGGCCCACAAATCCGCAGAAAAGAGGCATGCTTGGAGTCAGCTCGGCTCGGCCGGGTGTTCTTGGATTGGGCCAACATTGGATCTTCACCGGCGCCTCAAGCTCCTACGGAAACGAAGAGTTACCATTTTAATTAGGTGCTATTATATGGAAACCATATGGTTTTAGGTGATAAATAGCATCTTGAGAACCTTTGCTTGCGTTATTTCTACTTGTTCAGCAAACCTTTGCGGTGGCTATTTAGTGAGATGAAATAGCTCTTTCTTTTTGAAGAGCAAAATTGCCTCTATGATTTCCCAAGTCAGAAATTGAGTTTTTGGTTAAGAAATATGCAATCAGTTCACGTTTACATATGGTTTTGGTTAAGAATTTGTTTGCTAAATCTTCCACATTAATATTGTAAAATGAGATGAGCATTGGTGGTTCTGTGATATATTTTCTTATTGCCTTCATTATGAACCTCACAAGCCGGTGATTTAAATTTGTCTGTCGGTGATATTTAGGAGTGTTTGTTTAGTTTCAGTATAGCCGGTTTATCTTTGATGTTATAATGTGTGTGCTATGCATTTTTCTTTTGATATTGTAACTAATTAGAATTATGCTTCACTTTGTTAAATGCATTAACTAGGAACTTGTTTGATTTGACATATGATTATATTTTGGGATTATATATGTAGTTGAATGATATATTGTCATTTTTATTATTGACAGGGGCTAAAGTTATAAATCTCAGAGAACGTATCATGGTAGATACTAAAAGTGATCATATTTGAGCTTGTGATAATTAATTATTACAATTGAAATATAGGTTTTAAATTTTATCCTTCAAATAAAAAGTTTTTTTCAATAAT